TGGATGAGTTTGCGATTGACTTCAGACTGTTCCACTATTTGACAGTGCTTAACAGTTTGTTCTAAGGTTAGTTCTTCTCGCAATAACCTTGCCTGTAATTCTTTATCCGATATTCCCAGAATGATTTGAGTTTTTAATAATTTGTTTTCACGGGTGTCAAGCTCATATGACTTTACTAATTCTCAAAGATCCGCATAATACTTATTAAATGGTTCACCATCGAGTTGTTTCCGTGTGAAAACTTTGTATAGTTCCATAGTTTCATTACGTCTTGATATGATATACAATAAGCCTCTAATGCTTTCAATATTTCAAATACAGTTTTAGTTGGAATTTTAAGTGTGTTGTACATGTTTAAACCATCCGACCCCAGAAGGCTTAATAGTATTGCCACTTGCGTAGGTTCCTTCTTTGCATGACTTTCAGTTGCATCAAAATAAATTTGTAGTTGTCTGAAATGTTTAAAATGTTTAGCCAAGTTACCTGTCAACTTCAGTGGGTCTGGTTTGTTGAACTCCATTAATTAATTGATTCTCTTGACGTGTATAAATTATAAATTATAGATATCAAACGAGGTTCAATACTATTGCGCCATGTTTTATGATTATGTATTAATTATTTATGATTATGTATTACTAAAAATGATTTTATGTGTTAATTTTAAAAATTATATTGTAAAATAAAAAAAAAGCGAGATATGACAGTTGTACACACTGTGTAATTATTATTACTATTTCTTGTATTAAATGAATTTAGGTTAAGTAATTATTATTATTAATTTTAGCTTTAAATAAATTTAAACTTTGTTTATCATTATTATTTATTATCAAATAAAATGGACATAAAATTATAATATTCACGAGACCAATTTTCATCGAGGCTACGATTTAAGGCAGTGGTTAAAGTGGGAAAATTTCAAGGGGGACTAAAAGTCACCAAAAATTAAGGAACGTTCCAAAGTTCTTCTTCCAAAGTCTATATTTATCCAAACTGTTTTAAGAATTAAACTCACTACGTATATCCTTCATAGTTTTTTTCTTTCATTTACCTTTGTTCATAAAACGTTAATCCAATGTACGTGTTATCAGGTTATTTACATTAGCAACCGGCCACCGGGTATCTATCTTTATTTAGACATAGTGTCTAATGTGGTGACGGACTAAGATATAAAGTCTCTGATTGTAACTATACATACCAGACAGTGCACTACTACATTAGGCGATTAATAATCTTAAGCGTCCCCATCTTCAGAAAAGTGGATATTATTCGGGCGAGATAAATTACATTTAATTTCGACGGTTAATCGCCTAGTGAGAGAGTGTGTAATTTATTAAAATTAACACACAATATAAATTTACATTACGTTTCTTGTTAAGCGTTTCTTCTTTGGAGACTTAAATGAAAGAGGACTCAAAATCTTCCCGAAAATAAGAAGAGGGACTCCCCCCCCCCCCCCCCACTTCAACCAGTATTTTAGGTATTGTGAAATTTTTTTAAATTGTTCATAATAATGGGATGCGAGTGAAGGTAATGTTTAAATTTTGAGGTCGTAGTTTAGCGTGTGGTTTCAAACGTACTAGAGGAGTTGATTAATATGGGACGAAGGTTTATGGATTAGAGATTAGAATAATTTAAGTTCTTCGTTTGGGACTTTAGTAGATCCCTCATAGAACCACTCAAGCTATCTAAGCTAAGAAACCATATTTTCACACTATAAACAAGAAAACATTTATTGTGCACCATCGTTTTTATTTTTTCGATATCACAAATACAAGAAAAGTTCTCTTGTTTAAAAATTCATTATTTCAAACTTAGATAACTTGTTTTTGTATTTGTGGTATCAAAAAAATAACGATGTTGCACAGTAAATGTTATCCTCTTAATAATATGAAAAATTGGTTGTTTAGCTTAGACTACAGCTTGAGTGGTCCTATTTCGCGAGAAACAGTTTTTGCTATGTTGAACGTTTGTAAGACGGAGACAACACATGCGGGTGTGGCGTCCTCTTAAGAAATTTAAATCATTCAAAATCTAAATTTAAATAATGTAAAAAATGATGTTTACTTAATAATAATATTTTAATTTTAATTTTTAATTGAAGCTGCTTCAAACGACAAACATTAATATACCTATATACGCGTTAATGTTAAATACAACGTATTCAACTTTTTGTACTTCATTGCTCTTATTTAATTCTGCATTTAATCGTTCAAGTCACTTTAAGTCTTAAGGTACAATTAATTTAAGTGATGTATACATTAATGGTAATCACTAATCAGTTAGTTACATAAAACTTTTACGTGTGGCCGTTGTACGTGAATTGATTACTGCACATAACGGTCCATTAAAGTTTTATGTAACCCTGAACCAGACATTACATTTATTAGTTATAGATAGGTAGTCTATTATTTAAAGTCTGTTCAGTGTATGATTACGAGAGTCAAGAGGTATTGGTCGTTTTGATTCATTGCACACTCTTAAATAACAACCATCTTGAACCTAACCTAACCGGTCTTATTTGACCCTGAACTCAAGTGTGAATTATATATTGGAGATGTAACTACTGATCGACAACTGGCGAATTGAAAACATTAAGCCCAAGTGTCGGTTGGAATTTCAGTAATGTCAAAAGTAGGATTTTTATTATAACGTTCAAATCTTTTTACTAAATAATATTGGAAAATATTTTGGAAGATCAATGCAGCAATATGATCTAATATTTATTTTTATAAAAAAACCGTCCATTATGACGTGTTAATCTATAACCTATTGACTATTAATAATAATATATATTTTCACTTTCTAGTTTAATCTCTAATAAAACTTTTGTTTGATAGATTCTTATACTTCCAATTTACCATCAAGAAGTGATCTGACAGTGCATAGACTACTGTTAAATAAAAAAACATTTTACAAATTCTAGTCTAAAATATCTGAAAATACAATAGCGTTTCTCTAGTCATTGCCAAAGTCAGGGCAAAAATATTTTTACGTGTAGTTGGCCATTTATTTTAAAGTGCGTTAAAAAATCTAAAACATTTTTTCTAACCGAAATTCGAATTCAAACGAAAATAGTATTCAAACGTTTTATTTCTTTTTTTATTACATATAACGTAGTCACGTACAGTTTTTTGCTCCATAATAATAGTGTGTTCCACGAGAGCGCGATGAGCAATCGTTTTCGTTACGAATTGTCTATACGTGTTAGAATATAATAAGTCATAATAGGTAGGTATACTGGTCGAAACCCGATAAAATAGTACAACGCTAATAATATTCAACAATAAAAAAAAATCTATAAATAGTTGTATTATACTGTTACAAAACTCTTTATGATATAACCTTACTGCAGAGTTGATCTTGAACTGGTGAAAATATACGTAGACGTAATGTTTATGGAAACATTTTTCTGTTTTTAATTGTATTTTTTGCAGTTATTATTCGTAAATATTAAAAACTAAACTGTGTTGTGTGTGTTTTCCTGAAAATGTTTGCAATGCACATTATAGGTACAGGACACAGTTTAGAGGCGTTGGACCTTTTCCTTATATAATATGTAGAAAACTCCGTAGCTATACTATAGATCTGCTGCAGTGATATCTTTATAATATTGGACAAATGCGGTTTATCGTCGTATATTGATGTACATTTTTCCTTCAATAATAAATTTATTCAAATCCTGATTTTTGGAAATTTTAAATACCGTTCTTAAGGAATATGTTTGCAATTATTTAACTTTTTATAACATTCAAGGAATGTCATAGGTTAGTTGTAGAAAAGGGATTACAAATTATTTTTTTTCCAAATGAAAACCTACCTTATTAATAAAAATTGCGAAGTGACTATAATTATTATGAAATCTTGATGCACCTATCTGAATCAAAAATCTTACCAGTAGTTTCTGAGGTATTAAAGAATAATATTAATTATTTATAGAATATAGCGTTTATTATACTTAGTATAAAACATTGATGGATTAGTATATTAATTATTAACAGGGTGGGGATATAGCATTTGCATAGGTAGGTACCAGGTACCTGGTACCTATACTTCCTTCAATACTTCCCATCAATGTTTTAGAAATAGAAGAATAAGCTTAAAATTTGTTTCATGATACACATTAAAAATTTAATTAAGCATATTTTTGCATATATTGAAATTTTTTTATAATAATTTGTAGTCCTATTCTGGACTTTTTGAGATATATTTCATTTCGACCTATTTTTTGATCTAAATTGGTCAGATTTTATGAAATAACATTTTAATAAACGTGTATTTATTTATTGTCTAATTTATTAAGAAAATGTGTAGATTAAGTAAATAGATTGACTATGGACGGACGTGGCGCAAGCAGCGGTGTTCATAGTTTCGTATTATTTAGTTCTAATATTTTAAACTTTTGTTATTGGCTGATTTGTTGATTAGTTGTTCATGCTTGATAAATAACTCTGTGTCGCTGTATAATGTATACATTTAGATAAAGTTTCGAATGGATTTAATATAATAATATATCAACATCATCATGGGCGGAGTGCGGAAAAATAACCGTTATAAGTTATAACATGTACAGTTTACACATTGTCATTCTCAACGACCTTCTATCTGAAACTTAAAAAAATGTATAAATAATAAATGTCTAGGCAGAAAAGTATATAGTATCGGGTTATACGCGAATGGTGTGCACATCAGAAGAATTATTTCCGAAAAATACTCAAGTCCAGAAAATGTCAAAAAAAATCTTTAGGCGGGGCAGCAGCAGAACAAAAAATATGACGGAATTACGTCAAGTCGGTGTGTGTTGCGGCGAAGTCGTCACTAAGGCAATGCTAAGCGCGAACGAGTGCAGCTCGCGCTCGTCCGCACAGACCGGTTGTGGCCGCCGCGTGTGGATACACCGCCGTCGTGGCGTCGACTCGTACTCGATGACGGCTGGCGGGCGGGCGGGTCCGAGTCGGCAAGATCTCGTGAGTCGCGCGGGACGGCAGTGGGGTGGATCCGTCAACGATCACGGCGCGTACCTATTATAATAGTAGGGGTCACGATCGCGTTCGTCGGCTCCGGCGCAGAACACCACCAGAGCACCAGCCATCCGAAGTCCAAGCCGGTCGTTGACTCCTCCGCGTGCGCGTTACTCTTGTCAAAAACACACGTCGTCGTCGTCGCCGCAAAGTTCCTGCGAAAAATTTGAAAAATAAAAATAAAAACACCCGTACCGTTGTTGGACGTGCGCGTGTGCACCGCGACGACAATCCGCCGCGGGGCCGCAAAACGGAAAACACGCGCGCGCGCGACCACATACGACAACCGCGCGTAGCGCAGTAGCAGTTGGTCGTCCACCTCGCGCGTATACACGGGACATGACCGCTATAGTAGCTGTCGTCCAGCCTGACCGCTCGTAACCTCTCGTTACAAACGCCGCCGATACAGCAGCTGAAGCAGCTACCGTCACCGGCGCACCGTCGTCACGTCGAGTCGAACGGACGCCAGCGATCTCTGTCACCATGACTGTCGCCGGCAAAGGAGTTCCTAGTCACCACCACCGGTCGTCGTCTTTCAAGGTAAAGTCGTAAATTGTCGTATTGTCACTGCGACAAGTAGTTAGGTTAACCTACAAGGCCGGCTCCAGAAAAATCTGTGCTGAGGGGGGGGATGTGTCATACAGAATTGGCGACTCCAATTACCATATTAATCGACTTGAAAATAGAACGAGAGGGCTTGGATAAGGGGCCCAACATTTCAGGACATAATACTTAATAGAGCCCTTTAAATAAATCCGATTACTTGTAATCATTTCTACAGTCTGAAACTCAACTGATTTTTTGTGTTAAAATTTAAAATACCCTAGTATGACGATTAATATCACCTTAATTATATAGAGTATTATATCTCGTAGTAATGTTTTTTAATATATTTCGATTACTAATTTCTACAATAATAAAAACAGCTATTATAAAAATATATAGTATTATAATTTATAATTTATAACCATAGAAATGTTTTATTTTAGTATATGTTAAATTTAAAATCGTCAATAGACAAAAAAATGGCATTGAAATCGCGTACGGGTTTGTGGTTTGAAAAAAAAAGAGAAAAATATATGTATGATAAAAATTGTAAATTATTGACTTGCAGCTCTAAATTTTGACTAAAAACAAAACTACATTCACAATAAAAATGATTTGACAGATGCACCACCGAACCTTAATACTGTCCTGAATAGTAGGCAGTACAATTATAGTACATGTATTGTATACGAGTATACGACGTAATATTATGCTAATCACTGAAATCCCTCACATCATCAAATTATCGATAATACAATTTCAATCGGTTGAAGCTCAGTTGAAACTCTTTAAAGAAATATATGTAATGTAATCTATCCATGCATTTTTATATTCTATTTATTGACTTTAAGTACAAATTTCGCTTAAACATAACATTTGATATTCGTCTCAGACTCGATCATAAACCACAATACAATTTTTTTAATAGTTGACAACAAAATAATTAATATAAATACTACAGAAATAACAAATAAATGCAAAAGTAATAAGAATTACATTTGAAAAATTTTAACAGATATATATAATATATATAGGTGGTTTATATTATAAAATATGTATAATATAATACTATAGTAGGTTTATATAAACATTTTGTACCGTATTTATTTGAATATATTTTTTTAAATATCGGCTAATACTTTGTTAACTCCAGTAAGAAGAAACTTGACTTCTTGAGTTATATGAATAGAATAACATATTTTACTGATTACTTATGTTTAATACAATGTAGTTTTGATGTACATACTTTTATTTTTTTAATAATATTTTTGTCATAACAACTAACGAGTAATAGATTAATAAACTAGTGGTAAATCACCTCTGCAGAGGTGCTTCCAATATGTATGACTTCTTCATTCTTATACCTGTATTTGTAAAACATTATATTATATTATAATCTGATTTATTTGTCTCCTGTAATGTCTGTCTGTCTGTGCGCATTAGTCATTACTTATTAATTATTAGTTTATTACACATATAAAGATATAACTTACAGATTATGACTACGCATTTGATTTCAATAATAAAAATCAATTAATTAAAATGTATTATCTAGTTGTAAAAGTAAAACGTATAGGTATGTGTTGTCTGCGTTTTAACAAATGTACGACATGGAAAATTCGCGTTCAGCAGAACCAATTTTGTATAGCAGTGTAGTTTTACTAGTAATATTAGAAAGAGTTATCAAACATTATCTTTGTTCTTTGAAGTTGGTTTTTACGATATTTCAATTTTCAAGCAAGTTATACGAGCAAGTAAAATATATTTAAAAATTCTCAGAACTCACATAAATATTAACCAAAGAGAAATAAAATAATAAAAACCAAACAGATAATATTTTCACCAGTTTGTTCATATTAAAGCTAACTGCATTCAATTGTTTCTGCTGAATTCAAATTTCACATGACGTATACGTTTGTACGATGGATATAAGTAGACAACACATGTTTGTAAAACGTCCTCCTAATAATTGAATAATTTGCATTCCAATTTAATGCAATTTTAAAATTTCAACTATGACTGAGAGGTAGTGGGTATAATATATGCGAACTGTATATTTATAAAGAAAAAATACTCCGTTATGTTTTAAAAAAGTAAATATAACCTAAATGTATGTATAATGTATATAAATTAAATATTGAAATGTACGCACGTGTATAACAAATATTATACAATATATACTTCATACACATTACACAGAACGTGCAAATAAATCTTCTAAGTAAATCTTTTTAATAATAATGCATTTTGTATAAAATATTTATGATTATTTTAAAACCTAGGTACATAATATAAGAATAATATGTTTAATAATACAGATATATAGTCGTGCTCCGACGATATATTTGTAGGTTCATACGTTCCAGATAATAATAGAAATAAGTACTCAAATTTAGTCGAAACTTCAAATCGTCACACTATTGATTTAAATGATTATATATAAATATAATATTATAATCAAAACGAGTACAATAGAATCGAGGCCCAATCAAATTTAAATCTTATCGTACTGTACACGGTGTACCTATTGAATTCGTTCTAAGTAATCGAATGTTTTTAGGCGAACGTGTAGACCGTCGATTGATAGTAATCGTAAACAATAACCAATCAATCATTTGTGTATGCTCTCAAAAATCATTTCTAACTCATCATCATTCATTCAACACGTATTATGCGTTTAACATTTACCTCATTTATATGTATTGAGGTATGTTGGTACACATTTTCAATCCACTCGGAAATTTACTTAAATCATTTACAGAATGTTTTTTATACTTTCAACTTGTTAAATTTCAACAGGTTTTAAATTGTTTCGTTTTTTTAACATGATATGGCTTTGTATGAATTGAATTAACGACATACCTATTTACTAGAAGTTGAAATAATATTATACATTACCAATGAATATTTCTGCAACTGAAGATTTTATTGTTATTCTACGCCTATAATATATCATAGCCCATAGGTATACTATCAATATTGAACAAGTATATTATATACATATTATAACTAAATAACTGAATGCCCGATTAGGATATCCGATTTATAACTATTTGAAATTTGAAATGAAGTTTATGAAATATGAATACACGCTTCAAAACGAACAATTTAAATATTTTAATCACTAAGTACTCTACTTGTAGACGTGTCACGTGTAGGACACTGTATATAGGTACCCGATGAAGATTTTAAGCTTAAAATAAATACTTTTATCAATTAAATCATAAACCGGACTCAAAACTCGCACGAATAACGTATACTTATACGATTTGAATCGGTATTATTCAAACAAACCTAGTTAGGTGTATCTGTGTGGAATTCGACGTTATATTTCAATCAGTTATTATACATACAGCACTACATACATAATATACATACAAATGCTCTTCTGCAGGGAATCGACTGTATACGAACACGATTAAGACAAAATAATCATATCCAGATCAAAGTGAGACGCGTTTTCATCTGACAACCATATTCTCATTCGTACATAACAATAGTATAAGGAATAAACGTCAATACGTCATATACTATTTATATATGTAGTCAGATTACCCCGACGCAGTCCCGTAAACGATAATCGATATTCCATGTAACTCTTTTTAAGTGTTGGATGGCTTGATGAGGGGTTATAACGAGTTATTTCTTTTGTGATCCTGATTAACAACGAGCCGAGATCCTAATTGGTTGTCGGTCACGCACGTTTGTCATGAGTCGCAGCAAATGTATATATATATATAGTATGTATATAAATATACGACAGCTGACGATGGATATATATATATATGATACAGAAATAGTAAAAACCATTTTTAAAAAAGAAAAAAGTAATCCTAACTAAATTATTTAGCATCGTTCATGTAGAAAAACGGCTGGGAAACAAAAACACTGCAAGTTCAATGACTGCAGCACGAATGACCGCAGGAATCCGCGCGGACCGCAATGTCCGTATAAACGTGCGTCACGCGTGACTCGGGAACAATTACGATTACTGTTCGTTTAAAAGTTTCATTCATATCGGCGGCGGCGGCGGCGGATACCGTAGAGGACGGATTTAGTATCTTGGAAGAATACTGTACCCATACATGTATATAGAAATAAGTCCTCGTAACAATATTTATTTATTTTATTCGTTTTATTTTTGAAAAATCAACATAGACCGGTTCTCATGAGTCTCCCGTAAATATTTCCGGTGCGTCATCCGAGGAAAAAAATATATCGCATAAACATTTTATGTATGTAGTTATGATGGAATAAGAAAAAAAATTCTAACGGAAATGATTATTTACTTATAATATACAAAAACTACAATAATTATAAGTTACCAGCACCACACACACTATGTATACGAGTTGAATTATTATGATAATTGCATATTTACTTTATACAGTTATTGCGGGTCTCTTGCTACGTTTGTCACCATCGACAAGTTGTTTTCGAACAATTATATTTGTGATTTTGGATAAATTATTAAATTATGAACAAGGACAAAAAACACGGAGAGACCCACGCGCTATTTTGTGCTGTGCGAAAACAATTTTTGAAAACCGATTTTATCTTATACTCTTATCGAATATTCTGTTGATGGGTTACCGTGTGGTATGTAGTAGATATAAAATGTCATCTGCAGTACATCCTTAAAGTTCATGGTCCACATAATATTATAAATTACAAGATACATACTATACATAATACGTATATATACCAGATGTATTGGACGTGATGCATGCAGAGATTATTATAAACTGATATTTATATCAGTTGTTCGTTAACGAGCTCGTTGTCTCGTTAACTCTGTGTTTAAGAGCTTGACTATTTTGTCTTGGATACTCCATACTCCGTCAGTAGGAATGTATAAGAGGTATTTACATTAAATCCAAATGGAATAATTTGTGGTACCGTGACTTCAAAACACTTATACAGTGTACGAAAGACAATTTAATAACATTTCAATCCATTAGTGATGGTATAAAGTTAAATATTATGAAGGTTAC